AAACGAAGAAAGGATGGTACTACGAAGTCCTGTAATTCTTCATAGATAAAAGGAACAAACTATGGACATTCGGGTAAAACGAAATACCCTTTTGCATTTGATATAATTAACAAAAATAAAAAACTGACGACGATGGCATTATCGAGGAAGCAGCAATCCCAAAGTTGTGTCGCGAAATTTTGAAAAGCGGCCACGCTTGGATTCCTGCTCGTATAGTATTGTCCCGTTCTCTTATCAGCGAATAATTACGGTTAGTTGTAAAATTACTGGTCGAATTGCATCACCAGTACCGATGATCGTTCTTTCTGTAAATAATCGTCACACGAATAATTATATCGCATTACAAGTAAATGTTTGTAATTCCGAAATAACTGAATAAAATGCTCCAATGTAACGTATACTATTGCATGGATTCCTAAGCAATGAACGAAACGAAACAAAATAAGATGATGTACGTGACAGGAGAATGTGTTAATAGTTATTTATAATAAACGATTATTATCACGCCATTTTTAGTAGTACTTGTTCACTTCGTTCAATTTGATTTTCCATCGAATTTTTCGTATTCGTTTCCATCATATATAAACGCGTCGAAATTTTTGACGATAAAATTGGAAAAGTCAAGAAATTTAACGCTCGATTCCGTCCAATCTGCAATCTATATAATAGCTTATGCTCGAGGCGAAAAATTGTTTTCCTTCGCTGGAAATATTAAATTTCCCTGAATTTTCACCAGAGATCTACAATTTGCGGATTAAATTTATACCTTTTATACCTCGATCTTTTTTCACCACAATTGAATTTAAACGACAATAAAATGGAATAAAAAGCGAGTTTTTATATTTTCATCTTCATCTTTGAAAATTCATCGCACACGACTCTCTGAAGAAACAATGTGTTACCAAGAAAATCCAGAAAACCAATCAAGAAACTTAAAGAGAACTCAAAAATATCATTTAAAAATATAATTTGAAGTAATTGGAGATGGAGAAAGAGGAGGAGAAAGAAATGGAGGAAAAGGAGGTTGGATTTATATCGTAACCTTTCTCGTTATAACACGGTATGAAATTTCAACTCTGCGAGACAGAGCTTATTAAACGGTTGCAGAGTTCGCAGCAGGTGTGCGCTGCGCGTCTGCACACTCGAGTGCGTGCCGCGACGACCAGTCTCGTCACAATTAAATCGAGGCCACGCGTCATCCGTAATATCATGCATACCGCCGATTCCTTGCCTCCTTTCAACATCGTTATCTTGCATACGATACTCAGAGTAAACGAGTGATCTTTTCTGTGTAAAAGAAAAAAAAATTAAAGTTGATGTTACAAAATGAAAGCGCGAGATTGGGCGGAGGAAAGTAGGAGAATGAGAGAAGAGGATTGGTAGTTGAAACGGAACGGAGATAGGTAATTGGAAAGCGTGAAATATGATCGTGCTTCCAGCGTCGAAAAATGAAAGTAAGGGATGAAATTAAGCAATTTCGCGCAGGGATCGGTTCGAAGGGTGCAAAGCTCGAAAGGAGAGCGGAGAATGGAATTCCATTCTAGGCGACGTATGCGCGTTTTGAAAAGCCATCATCGAGTAGAATAGACACGATCCGTCGGATGCAGCTGCAATCGTTAATCGACTCTACTACCTCTGACGTTTCGTCCAATTTGCAATTGGACGAGTAACAACAGATTGAAATCACGAAATGCCTCCTCAAGCGAAAAGATACAACGATGAAAAGATACGTCGGCTCGATTTGCGATCGAAGAATCCCATTTTCCTTCGTTACTCGAAATTCCCCTCGATTCTTCGAGGCTACGTTCAATCGTACGCGACAATGGACGAGGGGAGGCGAGAAATCGGGATTAACGAATTTTTTTACCGAATCTTCCTTAAATTCCTAACGAACCTACGGTGGTAACGAAACTATCGCGTCAGCTTAAACTCGTACGTTCTACGCCTATGTTAATTTCGGAGGATGGGAAAGAAGAAGAGAGAGAAAAAAGAAAAAAGGAAGTTATAAAAGTTTCTCATCGTTTCCTCGACGTTCGAAAAATTTGTTTGCCCGTTTTCCGTTTGCCAAATTTTAATCAACGACTAACGCGTTATTATTCAAATCGGGATCGAAATTGCGGGACAAAGAAACCGATGGAATAATTCGATAACGGTTTACAAACGGTGTATCCTTTGAACGGGGATGGGAAATGGAATTAATATCGCTACATTTTGTCAGTGTTTCGCTCCGTTGGGTAAACAATTGTTCCGTAAATATCTGTTTCAGCCGAGGAGGGGCGTTGCACTGCTCCTCTCGTCCAGCGCGAATCATGTGGCTTCCCCCGTGTTTCGAATCGAAAAAAGCGATGCACAATCAATCGGATAAGATAGTCGTAACCACGAAGATCTTCTTCCTCTCTTCTCTCATCTTCCCTGCTCACCGAGCAAAAATCAACCTATCTCCACTGGACATGTTCCATCGATCAAAACGCGCAACTATCTCGGCTATATGCTGATATTGGATTCCCCTGAGCGGTATCAATCGACGCGTCAACCAGAATTGAATGGAGAAATATCCCAAAGGATGTATGTATATATATATATATATATATATATACATAGAAAGAGAGAGAGAGAGAGAGCTACACCAAAGATGCTATCAAGACGATAGAAGAAACGTTAGAAGAAAGAAGAGAGAAAGAAAGGACAAAGGAAATAAAGATACGCGGGAACCGAGGAGAAGAATCGATCCTTTCCCTCCTCTTTTCCTTTTTTCCCCTCCATCCGTCCAGTTAACCGACTCGCCATTATCCACTTCCCCCCCTCCCTCGCTCGTAATCTCGCAACAAATCGGACTCATCGCTCGATTTCTGGCCAACTTCTCAACGTCGCGTCGAGAAAGATCCCCTCCCTTTTCATCTCCTCGACTTTTCACTTGGACGGAGAAATTTATTTTCTCTTCTTCTTCTCCTTTTTTTTCCCTCAAGGCGAGATTATTCGAATGCTTGAAAGTTCTCGACTCGAGTCGAGTGTCGAGTTTCTCGCTCGTCGGATTGTTTCGGGGACAAAAAAGTGCTGACTGAAATATGGAACTCGAGCAAGAGTTCCATCGTGATATTTCGTTTTCCTTGGTCACGCTCCTCCTTTTTTAAAGGTTTAAAATTCTTGTATGTATAATTCGAATAAGTTGCCAATGAATCGGATTAGTTATGACTCCGTGATTTCTAATTATCCATCGAATTCATTCTCGTATTCGAAGATGAATCACAAAAGAAGGCAGCGATTATTTCGCCAATACCAAGCGAATTTCGCAATCTTTCAACGATATCCTCTCGTTCGATTTACTTGGAGGATTCGTGTTTCTTTTCTTGGCGGCAAAGTTTAATCGGAGTTTTGCCCGGTAGATGGCAGGTCGACGATACTCGGGCCGAGAAAAACAGGAGAGGTGGGGGCAAGGATGGGATCCGTAATGGACTTTGCGGGTGTCGATGGACGACGGTGTTAATTGCACCGCCTAATGCCTCGAAACGTCCACAAATGCTCTCCAGTCGTGGTATCGAGACTTTCAGACTGCACTTTTTTATCCACCTCTTCTCAGAGACCTTCCGTCCCTCTCCCTCTTGTTGATTCGGGATCGCCAATTAAAAAAGGAACCTGGTTAAAAGCTGATCTAATTAAACGAGACCTTGTTCTATTTCACCTGTTAATCTCGTGTGTAAAATTTTTAAAAAGCAGATACTTGGCGAGCTGCCTCGCAAACTCGAACTCGAGAAGTACTTTATTAAAATTTTCGTATATAAGGATATAAAATCGTAAAATGTAAATTAAATTTTTATGTATAAGATTTTTATGTAAAATCACATGAAGATTCTTTGGATCAAATAAAAGTAAAATAATAAAGTAGAATAAAAGTAAAATAAAATGTTAGGTTATTCTTTTTTACAGACATTATATATTTATTATATATTATTTATTATATATATTATTATTATATATAATATGTATTATTATATATAAATGTATATTTATTATATACATTTATTATATATTATATATTTTATATATATTCTTTTTTTTTTCTGTAACAGTTGTTGAAATTTTAATTATTTCAACATGAAATAATAATTTTAATCGAAAAGAAAAACTGGCACCTCGAGTTGAAAACGCAACAGATTATTATTGCTTTGTCTCGTTCCATTTTGTCACGCGTATTCTTCGAATTATTTGATGGATAATTAGAAATCACGATCATTTAATTAATCCGATTCATTGGCAACTTATCCGAATTATACATTCCCCACTAGTGGTACGAGCTAATAATTGGTCGGACGATCGATGTAATGATCGACTGCGCGACTCACAGAAGGAAATTCGCCGAAATTCAAAATCCGCCAATTCGGAAATTTTGGATATTATTATCACTGCGAACAGTTGACATTTCCAAACGTTATTATTATTACGATTTTTTATCCTCGGCAATGAAAAAAAATGAAACGATCCCGAAAATTTGAGAAACGACGCGAAATTGACAATTTCATTAAGATTGCCGCGCATCCTTTTCGGAGTGGAGGGGGGGGCTCTCGTTAACGTCATCACTGGAAATTGCTAGTCGCACGGGTGGGGGGCGTGGTACGCTCGAGTAATTGCATCGTCGCCGGCATAGCGACAGACGTTCCGGTGTTCACTCTTTGAGCAT